GAGCTCGGCACGGATCGGTTTCAGAGGGTAGTGGAAATGTTGCTCATTTATTATTACAGATATTATTTCTTTATTATTTCCACCATCATCCAGACCCCTGAGAATCATGACACCACGTAGATAATGACCCCAAAAAAGAGCTTCTAAAGCCAGGTGTACTCTGTACCATTTCTTGCCCTTTTCGCACCAATTTCCAGCCTGATGGTGCGCCGTGTAGTGAACAGGGGGTAACGAGGGGCGATCAGCCTCTAAGGACCGCCTCCCCATCAGGAATCGTACAGTTGGGGGAAAATCAAAGGAGCTAACGGCCTAAATGAGCCAACAGGCCGTTTCTTTTCCCACTGCGTCTCTGTCAGTGAACGCCTCACAGCAGCCAAGTCAGACTCTGCTACCTCTCCACCGTCTCTGACAGAAACACACGCCTCCACAGACTGCTGTCATTCTGCTTTCTTTAATCTGTTTCATGAGGGAATGAGCCCCGGATTTAAATCTGTTTGTTCAATGAAACTATGGGACAAACATTAGCAGTCTACATCTATGGAGGGTTCCCCATAGATCCAGATTGAACAGAATCTGCAGCAGAAGCTTCATCCAGACTCTGGATAGAAGTTCTGGTGGATTTCAGAGATCAGTAGAGACCGAGGCTCCTGGCAGCCTCTGATATCTTGGGGGTTCTCCTGGTGGGAAACGGGTACGGGTTCTGGGAGGAACCGGACCCCCCTCCTGCACTCAGCTGCTCAGAGACACCACAGCTTGTTTGGAGGTTCTGGGAACCACTGGTTCCTGATGACTGGTTCTCCTGCTGGTTCTGGTCACGCCTGGTGAAACTGGACCTGGACCCACCAGGCTGCTGAGAAACCCTCTCTGTGGTTCTCCAGGGGGAGCAGTAGGGAGAACCCTGACCCCCCCGGGAATCTCTGGAGTATCCTTCACCAGACCCATCAGAGACTCCAGATCCAGGATCAGCACCGACTGGCAGTTCCTGACTGGAGAGATCCGATTCTGAGAAGCTGCAGAAACAGTCAGACGGGGACGGGTTCGATGAGCGGACCTTCGAGGCTGGAGAACAGGAACGTCTGCAGATAAACACCAGAGACACGTCAGAGGAACCGGCAGAACCTTCGGTTCTACAGACCAAAGGTCCGGACTTGGAGACAATAAGGAGGAACATTCAGGCTGGAACCAGAACCAGGGAAGCGGATCAGGGAACCGGAACCAGGGAAGCGGATCAGGGAACCGGAACCAGGGAAGCGGATCAGGGAACCGGAACCAGGGAAGCGG